TACAGTGAAGCGAACTTCACTGGTCACTGCCAAGCTCACAATGTACACAAATCGAGTGATAAAGCACAAGATGGAGAGGGATTGCGCCAACTTGGAAAGAGGTAAAGAAATTGAACCTCTATGGTCAATACAGAATACACAATCTAACTGTGCATACGTACTTTTTCAAGCAATTGACATGATCAGAAATGATAACTAAACCGTCACTGCTGTCGGTTAGGTGCCATACCCTTCAGTATTTCTGATCACCCAGCTGCACAGTCTTTTGGATCCCAACCTGAAGATGGGAGACACCTATTCTGCCTAATCGTTCTGTGCATGTCTTCATGCCTCATTTCCACGTCATCTGTTGACCTTCACGTGGTTTCTTCCAACCTGGAGCCGCAACTGCGAATAAGGCGTGGTTCGGTAGACGAGGGCTGGGCACTCGCAATACGTGTCCTAAACAGCGAGGCCGACTAATCTAAATTTGGTGGGACAACGAATTTTCCATCGAATCATTACCAAATACGCGAGGTCTTACCTCAGAGTTGCTTACACGTTCGCTCCATCCAACCCGCGCTAAACTACGTAAACATCTGTAGTCGAATGCTTCAAGACGACGAATATCTTCCACGCTCAAATTTAGGGTCTCGCAACCATAGAGCAGAACTGACCGCACACTGGTGCAGCACACAGGACCTTCCAGTTTCAACGAAACCGCGTCGGCACCAAGGGTGTTTCAGTCCTGCGTAAGCTGCTCTAGCCTTGGAAATGTGGGCGGTTACTTCATTGGCTACGCTACTGTCGTTTGTCACGCAGCGACCTAAGTAGGAGAAACATTCCACTATAGCTAATTCTTGACCATCAAGCATCAGCGCTGGAGTAGACGACACCTAGTCTTGCAGCATCACTTTGCACGTCGAAGGTGCAAAGCGCATGCCAAACAGAGCGCCTTACGCATTCTCCATACATTTGAACAGACAAACGATGCAGTCAGTGTACTCTAAATTGCACAGCTTTTCTCCAGCTGCCCATTCAGTACCAACATCTTGGAAACCACTAATTGTGTTCTCCAGTTTTTCCTCTACGACGACATTGAACAGGAATGGCGAAATAGGGCATCTTTGACGAACACCGCTCTTGGTTTCGAACGATTTACTTGGCCTACCGTAGACCCTTACGCTTCCAGAAGTATGCAAGTACAGCGACCGCAATAGGTTTACATACTTCCGCGGCATTCCTTTCCGAAGCAGCGATCCCAGGAGAGTTTCACGGTCAACCGAATCGAAGGCTCCCTTTAGTTCAAGGGACAATGCGATTGTTGGTCGACGATGTGTGATGCAAACTGGAGATTTGGTTGATGCCACCGCAACCTGGTCGGAATTCGGCATGCTGCTTGTGGGTCTTCATCTCCCTTAAAGATGCCAGGCGGCGAAGTATCACAGAAGTCAACACTTTTGTGATTATCCGCGGTGTTTTGTGCAGTCGTTGCGTGATCCCTTTTTGAATATTGGGACGATCAACGAATCACCCCAGGACGATGGGACACGCTCCTCCGACCAAATGCTGCGAAGTAAGCTAGTAATCGAGTCGACAAGAGAATCACCGCTCATCCTAGGAAGATTAGGGAGAAACCCATCGGGTCCCGCAGTCTTCCCTTTCTTTAATGATTGAATGAAGCTTCGTAACTACAATTCCGATAGGGGCTCACGTTACCATGTTTCCACTGTACTTGCTGGAATGACCGCGTTATCACTACACCAATTGAATTGTTCACTAAATTACTCTGCCCGTCGATCAAATCGCTCTTTTTATTTTGGATACTCCGTTCACTTCTATCGCAAATGGTCTCACTGACCAATATGCGACGACCTGCTTCACTGCGCATCAGGTGAAACGGTCTTTGACTATTTCCTGATGCTGAAGCTACCTTTATTTCACTAGCTATTTCGGCCCACCGGTTTTCGCGATCGTTCTTCCGGCTATTTCTGAATTGAAGTTACATTCGCTGCCCGTCCCTATGCTGATCTTGGTAGATTGGGATGTTTCGCTTTTGATCCATCAGGATTACTGACTTCTGATAGATCCAATGTCTTCGGCGAACTTCGGGTTCGGTTCTGGAAGCAAAGTTGGCTGCAGAGTGCGTCGCAAATCTAATTTGGTCCCCCCGTTGGTCTACTCCTAGTTCCTGTACGAGCTTCTCCTCATAGCATGCGCAGCCAGATGGATCGCTCAGACGATGATGAACTAACTGGGGAAGCTATTTTTATCGACGAGTCGAAGAGTGAAGCGTATGAGAACTGGTGCATGATCCGACTCAAAGCAGGTGGTCCAATAGGATCTGCAAATTTGTACTGAACCACGTCAACGGTTGCTCACAGCTGTGTTCAA